CCCAATAATAATAAGAACAGCAATAACAGGCCATCTTCTTCACTGGGGGAGAGAGGGAGGGGGAAAAAGAGCTGTGGGGATATAGAACTCCTTGATTGCATGTCGCCAAGCCCGAGAACAGGTGGTGACGGGAGGAACGATGTCGGCGAAGCCTTCCCTGCATTGCACATTTTGCTAGGGCTGTTTGCTTAATTGGCGATGCTGAGATGGCAAAGGGCGCATCTCTGGAGGAAACCAGACATAGACTGGATCACTTCAGACCAGCCTGCAGGGCAGTGCCTGATTGGAATCTCCCCCATTTAAAGGAGGAGTCTCAGGCTGTTTGATCTGACAGGGTCAATCTTTCACTCGTTGCCTCTTCTTTGCAATTTTGTGGCCCAAATCAAAAAGCAGGGTGTGTGGCCCTTGTGATGTCACCGAGGGCCACACACTCTTATGAGGTCACAGGAAGTGCTGGTTGCTAATTTGCTATGAACTGCAAAACTATATGTGTGTGTGTGTGCATGAATAATGATAATCTTGTGTCATCATGTCAATTCTGACTTATGGCGACCCTTTCCTTGGTTTTCTAGGTAGAAAAATACTCAGAAGGGGTTGACCCTTCCCATCTTCTGTGGAAACCCTGGAATTGTGCAGCTTGCCCAAGGTCGCCTAGGCTGGCTTTTCTCTTGGGAGGCCCAGTGGGGAATTGAACTGCTAACCTTTGGCACTGCAACTAGATACCTAAACCACTGAGCTATCCCACCCATGTGGCCTTGGGCAAGCTGTATAGTCCTAGAACAGCCCCAAAAGGAGTATTCCCCACCGGCCTTGGGCAAGCTGCATAGTCCTAGAACAGCCCCAAAAGGCGTATTCCCCACCTGGAAAACCCTGGAAAAGGTCTCCAGAATTGACTTGGCAACTTGCAGTTATTATTCGCAATGAAGAAGGTAAAGAACTGGCGTTTAACAAATTATAAATACCATGGTAACTGACAAGATTAATGTTCTTTAGTAGATATAGAAGAGTGATGTCCTAAGACTCAGGAGATCTGGTTTCAAATCCCTGCAAAGCCGTAGAAACTCAGTGGAAGATGGCAATTGTAAGAATCGCTTCTTAAATATCACCAAGACCTTTTTAAAATTGGGTTCAGGAAACGTTAGATGCAGGCAAGACTTTTTTAAAAAACAAACAAACGGTGTTATAGACATAACTTCATTACGATCGAGGAATGAGAAGGATTTGTTATTAAAAGAAAAAAAAAAGATTTGCAACTATCCAGCAAGTACTTCCGCAGGTCTTTGGGTAATTGCATTCAACTAATGACTGATCAAGTTCTGAACATGGGTTGCTTTGGGGGATTTTTATAACCCCCAAGAGTGTTGGTTTGAGCACAGTGGAGCAAGAGTAAGAACGTGGGAGCAAAAGAGATGGAATGGGAATAGAGAAAAGGATTCTCTTGGGACTTCCTCAGCGGATGGCACAGCTGAGTCCATCATGTCGTGGCTCTCTGGAGAGTATTAGCCCAGCCTCTGGTGGGAAGAAGCCATAAATTCCATACTAGAAGGGTGACAGGGGGAACCTTCATGGCCAACGCGGGCAATCTATGGCAAAGCAAGGCTCCTCATCATGGGAGCACTGTCAGTGCATTCAGCTGGACATGTTTACAGGCTCTCTTGCAGGTCTTCGCATTAAAACACACAGAGATCCTGCTGGCCTTCAGGCAAAGTTGGGACGTAGCCATTAAGGTGGCTTACCCACCATCTCCCGTCACTCGAATCAGCCCTACGCAGATGCAAGCATGATGGAGTAATGGGAGCAAAGGGTTGTATGCTCATGATTCCGTCCCCTGGTTTTCTGACAGCCATCAGCAAATAAAAGCAAATCAAATATATAAAAATACACGTTTTCCGCGGGAGCTGTGGAGCAGAATGCCGCCTTTAATTGCTTCTCATATGTGGGTGGGAAAGCTTGCATTCACCTCCTCCTTTTTTAAAAATTTCTCATCCGAGCACTTCTTACCCAACATTCACAGGCACTGAATTTTAAAAGGGAAAAACAACAAACTTGTTTTCCTTTTGGAAACGTTTGATTCCCTGTCTCTGCTCCCAAAGGACGATGCACCCCGTAGCACTCAACCCTGATCACCACATCATCACGTGTTTCTTTTCTAGGTTTTTTCCCCTTTATCTTTTTTCCCCTCAAGGAAACATTGTTTTGCATTTGAAAGCCTGTGTTGCTTTTATTCCAGAACTCCCATAGAAGCATTATATACTTCTTTCACACATCACTTTAGCCATCTGAGAGGAAGACGAGATGCATTTTAGACCTTTAATTTCGTTTTATATGTAACCCGAGATTTAAAAAAAAAAACAAGCAGCCAGAATATTTATTTACATTTTCATTTTCTGAACATCTCCACTTTTCTACACAGAGAAAGATGGTTTTCCATCATGGCGTCTGTAGAGATGAAGAAACTGAGGGACAGCAGTGTTTTCTTTTGAGGCTCAGAGAAGGAAAGGATAGCTCTTGTTTTGGTCTGGGATTTTCGAAAGCGAAGCTCCCAAAGTATTTCTGCCAGCATGCTGCTCTCGTTGGGGGTCCAGCCATGATGGAAGGATTGATCCGATCCTGGTTCCCTGATGTAAGTGGTCATTGAGTGCAGTTTTCAATACTACAAGTAGGCTGCTAGCTTTCTCCACATGTTATTGCTGCTGTTTTCTTGAAAACTGCCCTCAACTAACACTCATCTCCACTCTTCTGCTGTGCTACAGGAGGAAAGGCTGAAAGCAGTGGGTTCGAATTACAAGAGAGGAGATTTGGACTGAACCTTAGGAGGAACTTCCTGATGGTAAGAATGGTGGAATGGCCACCTGAAAAGGTGGGTGGCTCTTCTTCATTGTTGAGTCCTTTGTGGTCAGAACCAGCATCTCTGTTTAACATCAAAGGTTCGGTGGATGCCGGCTGGCTACTGCATTCCTGCACTGTCTGTTGTGTTCCTGCATTGCAAGGGGTGTGGACTGAATATTAATTAATTGATTAATGGATTGATTTTATCTACATCCTACCTTTCTTCCCATAAAGGAACACAATGCGGCATGCAAGAATTTAAAAAGACACATGCAATGTCACAATAAAATGCAACATCATTACAATAGAGTGAAACCAACAGGATGTTAAAAACACCATTAATTTAGAAAGTTGAAACAAACTTAAAATGCCTGGTTTAAACAAAGAATAGATTGATAAAAATGTGAGATTAAACAGGGAGAGTTTGTCCTTGAAATAGCCTGGACCCAGATCACATAGGGCTTTATCGGTCGTAACCAGCACTTGGAACTGGGCCTGAAAATGGACTGGCAACCAGTTTAAGTTGTTGCAAGACAGTAAATGAAATGTGGGATTCTACAGGCATTCCCTAGTGCTGAAGAGCCCCATAATCACAATTATGTAGGGTGTAGGCAGATGGATCCCCTCCTGCTAGAACCTCCTGCTGAAACCCAAGGGACCATGTTTGGATTCAAGAGCCCCTGTCCATGCCTACAGAGATAATAACCGCTTATCATCCAGAGCTACTGTAAAGGCGTCAACCAGGGCAAGCACGCTCTGGGGAAATGTGAGTCACAAATGTGGGTTGCCTCCATTTTAATGCCTACACTTGCCAAGATCCTCACCCAACCGCCAGGTGAGATTAGGTGATAAATGATTGCATTAGCCGAGACAGCTTCTCATTTTCCTCCAGTCTGGCCTGTCTGCCCTTTTAGCACGGAACTCCTGATAGCATTTCTTCCTTCACCAACTTCATTTTTAACTGCTCGCTTGTCAAGCTGTCAGCATGAAGAAAAAGAGGAGCCATCCAAAAAGCAGCTGCTGTTTGCGCTCCAAAGGTGTGACTACAGTGTGACTCCAGCTTTAGTAGGATGCAAATTGATTGGAACATTCCTAACTACACATCATTAATTGGAAGCATGGGGGGGGGGACTCACACTTTTTAAAAGGAATTTTGAACCCCCGTCAGGAGGCTGTTTATTTTCAATCACTCTATATTGCATTGGTTTTTGACCCATTTTGGGTTGTGTGAATGGCCTTACCATGGTATTCTGCTTCCTGGGGCATCCCCTGTGTGGATGTCTTAGGATGTGTTTGAGGTGGCACAGGATGCTCTCCCATTAAGAAACCAGTAATTATATCTGCTGTCCAAACTGTGTGTATATATACTGTGTGACTTTAGCGCTGCATCACATAGGTACTGGAGTCTTTCTGTCTGCAACACTGATGCAGCGCTATGCCACTTGGAATAGAAAAGAGGGGAACAGACACATGGGTGGATCAAAGTGCCAACCCCAGGTCTATTTAAGGCCATGTAAAGAGCAGTATGAAAAAGGAGGCATTGGAGCAGGACAATGGAAGAGGGTTGTAACTCTCACTGTCTGATTTTTAGTGCATTTCCTTTTACTTCCTTTCTGTGACAGTTGGAAGTAGAAACAATATGTATGACTTCTCCTTAGATGGTGGTGAGCCACCCATGCTGCACCCATGGCCTCATTCTTCTCATTCTGCAGAGTGGAACTCCACATGTCTACCCCAAAGTCCTAACCTTATGGCGCCATGGGAACTTATCCCATCCAGGATATGACTATAATATCCTTGGGTCATCTGAGCTATGGTAGCCAGTCCATTACGTCACTGGTCTAGAGTTCAGGTTCAAATCCCCACTCAGCCATGGAAACCCACTAAGGAGTGGTGGTTGGACTGGTAAAATCAGTCCTTGGACATCTCTCCTATCTTGAAAACTCTACTGTGGTTGTCCTAAATCAAAAGCAATTTGATGGCACAGAAGAGTGAGCGCAGTCCGAGCAATGCAACTGAAGAACAAAGAACCTCTTTCATGCATACCATCTGTGAGAAAACACTCCCTCTAACAATGCTCATTCACACCAACTTGGCCATTACAATAAATGCCCACTTCCCCAGAGTGTTTCTCAAGCACTGAGAGACAACTTTCCCATTTATCCCCAATCTTGTGTTCCCCTCCCCATCGCCTGATGTGAGGAGAGAAGGGTGGCGAGCATTAGCCATGCTAAACAGATGCCTTTTGTGGACGAGACACCTGGCAGAGGAGGGGGTCCTGGCGTACCCTGCATCCGTGAGCATCAATTCTTTCATGTTGCTGGGAGGGTTAATAGCCATTTGTAATCACATTAGAGAAATGGTTGAATTCTAAAGAGGGCCATTTGCTGGACTCCCTTCCCTGGGCTGCATTACAATGAGAAGATCAAACAGAATCAGCCTCAACTGTGAGATTAGAACCAAGGAAGAGGGAAATCATTGGCTTGGAGCACAAGAGGAAAAGACAAGAACGTTCTCCTTGGACAGTACAAAATCTTTGCAAATGTAATTCATGGATGATGGAATTAAAAAGCTAGGATTTGGGGAGGTAGGAATGAAAACAGGAGGTTGGCTGAACAAAATAATTGCTTGTCTAATGTGTGTTGTGAAATATCTTCTATCCAGCTCACACAACAGGATCATATGTTCTCTCATTGCTCAACCATCGACAACTGCTACTGGATGTGTGCACAGATACCATGGAAAAATACTGTATCCGGAGAAATCAATGATTATTTAAGAAATCAAACTTGCATTGATGTCAATCACACGAGGAATTAATGCCTCAATGTGTCAGTTGCCAAGTAATAAGCATGCAGGTGTGAATCAGTCTTGAGCGATCATCTGCCCAAATGGTATTTTTTTATATCTATGCCAATTAATATCGGAACACATCGGAATTTGTACCCTTCTTTTCTAATACGGACGCATTAGTCATGGTGGATTGCACCCATTAAAACCGCACTGTTTGAAAAAAGCAGCAACAGCTTTGATGGAACAGAGCAAGGGCAGCCGCAGCAGCTGAAAAGTGGTTTTCTACTGGAACCAACTCAAAGAAAAGAAAAGACTAATGGGATGAAACAATTACCATAAAGTGGTAGAAAGCTGTCAAAGATGCACTTGCTGGATCAAGGTTCCCTACAACCCTGGTGAAGCTACAAAGGGATCTTTCTCCCTTGGTACACTTAGCATTGTTTTCAACATGTTCAGCCCAGGAATAAGACCTCCTTTTCACAGCTCACTGAGAGCCAGGACCCACCCACACCCACTCACTCACAAACACACTTAATGGATTATTTCCACCCTTTGGAAGCCTTATAGATTCACAGAATAGTTGAGTTGGAATGGACCTATAAGCCCATTGAGGTTCATCCCTTCCTCAGTGCAGGAATCCAAACCAAAGTAGATCTGACACAAGGTTGTCCAATTTTCTCTTGAAGGCCTCCAGTGTTGGAGCGCTCACCACCTCCCCTTGAGGTCATCGGTCCCATTGTCGTACTGCTCTAACAGTTAGATTCCCCCCCCTCCCGATATACAGCCAAAATCTAGCTTCCGGTAGCTTGAGCCTGTTGTTGCGTGCCCTGCAATCTGGGGTGATCGAGAACAAGTCCTGACTCTCCTCTGTAGAACTACCTTTCAAGTACAGCGGTGCCTCGCATAGCAAGGTAATCCGTTCCGGATTAACTCTCGCTATGTGAAAACATCGCTAAACAGAACATAAAAACCCATTGGAACACATTAAACATCGTTTAATGCGTTCCAATGGGCCCTAAACTTACAATTCAGCGAAGTTTCCTCCATAGCGGCAGCCATTTTCGCGCCCTCAGTAAGCGAGGGGAGGGCGCGAAAACACTGCGCGCGGCCATTTCGGGCGTCCGGCATCCATTTTTAAACCGCCAAACAGCTGATCCGCGGGCATCGCAAAGCGAAGATCGGTAAGCAAAACGCTTACCGATCGTCGCTATGCAAGTTTTGCCCATTGGAACGATCGGTATGCCTCCGCATTAGCGATCCCGAAAAGGGGATCGCTATGCAGATTCGTCGTTCTGCGGTGCACTCGTTAAGCGAGGCACCACTGTATTTGAAAAGTGCTGTCCTGTCTCTTCACAGTCTTCTTTTCTCAAGGCTAAACATGCCCACTTCTCTCAGTTTTTCCTCCTAGGGCTTGGTTTTTAGTCCCCTGATCATCCTCGTAGGGCTCCGCTGAATTTGCTCCAGTTTCTTGGCATCCTTCTCAACGGACCTCTAGGATGAATTTTCCAGTTCTGGCAGCCGGGAGATCCCAAGAGACCTTCCCAACCACAAATTTCCAATGACCATTCCTGTTTACCTTTTTATTTGTAAAAGGGAGTCCCAAACCAACCTTTTCCAAACAAGGGGAGGAGCCAGGGGGAACCTTGATCCCCTGAAATTCCTCACCCACGAAGTACAGGGAAAGTAGTAACTTATCTCTGCTGGATAGTTGAGAGGTTTAGGCATCTGCTCTGCAGAGCCAGAGATTGGGAGTTTGATTCCCCCTTGGTGCCTCCTTAACAGGTGCTGGACATGGTGATCCCATGGGGGTCCCTTCCAGCTCTGCAGTTCTAAGATGATGATGGAGCTCAACATTTCTTGGGAACCTGAACTGGTAAAGTCTCCTCCTAATTTCTACCACCTCGTTTGTTTTGGTTAATTAAACTGTCAGAAAGGGGAAGATATTTACCTGTCGCTCACTTCAGGTACAGATGAAACATCAGCCTGCAGATAGGTAGCTGCTCAATTACTATAATTGCTTTTATTTATTCCCTCTTTTTTCCCTGTGTTACCCATTGCTTTCTTCTCTCCCAGGACTGTGACTCTCCTTCCAACATGTGCTTGGTAGGGTCAAGGATGGGAGCCTGGACAGCTACTTTTTGAAAATAATTGCAGTTACACTTTTGAGACCAGCGTTTCATCACTGGGACCACTGCATTTAAAGGAATTCTTCTTTGAAAATGACTAAAATCTTGATAGCAAACAAAGGAGGAGGAGAAAGGACGTCAGCGCCTGTGAGCTCTCCGATTTATTATTTATTTATTTAACATATTTTTACCCGACCTTTCTCCTTAAGAAGGGCCCCAGGTGGCATGCATCATTAAAAGGCAATATTTAAAGCTAACACAGTTAAGTATAAAAAAATACTTTAATAAAAAATATTGAAGAAATACCAAAAATAGCACAATTTTAAAATGATTTTAAAATGCAACACCAAAAAAAGCATGTTCAGTTTTTCTCTCTCTTTTTTTCTCTTTTTTCTCTTTTTCCATCTTGAATAACTTGTCTATTGATGTTTACAAATTTTGTTATATTTTATATGTTGTTATATATGTTGGAAGCAGCCTAGAGTGGTCGTTCGACTAGATAGGCGGGATATAAATGCAATAAAATAAAATAAACAAGGCACAATCATCCACTGAAAAGCCCCACTTATGTAGCCAGTCATTAAGAGAAAGCTTGCCTGAAGAGAACGGTCTTTGCCTGCTTGTAGCAAGACTGCAAAGACAGGGTGCTTTTGAGGGTGGTGAGACTGAGAGAAGGACCTCCCCTGATGATCTTAACACCCAAGCCAGCTCGAGATGGGAGACACAGTCTTTGAGATAGCTCGGATCCAACCTTAGAACTTTATTAGATTAGAGCCAACATTTTGAATTGTGCCTGGCAACAGATCGACAGCCAGTGCAGCTGCTATAACAGTTTTTTTTCCCCCAGAATTACAGTGTTGACGCTCAAACTGCTTGGGAAAAGAGGACTTTGCTATCTAAAAACTTCCAGGTCAGGTTTATCGATGTCCTCCCCGCCTTGCAACAAGTGGAGTCGACATTATCTGCATGCCACTCGCCTTAACAAGAACCAAAGACCTCAAAGCCCCCCCCCCAATTGTTGTTTAGCGGACCTCTGCCCTTAAGAAGAACCAAATCCCCCAAAGCCCCCCCCCCAATTGTTGTTTAGCGGATTTCCAAGGCCTCGAGTAAAGAACCTGGAGGTGTTAAATGGAGAAGGAGGCTGTTCTCGGTCCTTCTGCCACCTCCTTTATTGAAGAAACGAAGAACAGCTTAACCTCTTTGCTCGAGCACTGCTCTCTGGACGGATGCTTGTAGCCCTTCCAGTGGGAACATGCGATCTGCATTTAGACTCCTCGGCAGGATGCGGCGCTCAGTGAACCATGTTAAGTATCCATTTTCCATCGTGGGCAGGACGTGTGCCATTATAGACTGTTCCAGGGTTTATGGCCATGAAGAATCTTTGCGGCTGGCATTAAAACGGTTATGGAGTTGTTTTGAGAGATTTCCAGCCAAGGTGTGGCTGAAGAAAAGGGGGTTAGGGATCCTGGCGGGAGTCCCTAAGATTCCTCTTTCCCGGGAGCATGCCTCATCACCTGTTGGGCCAGGTAGTCAATCCTGGAGGTGCTCGGTCCCAACGGGGCAGGGTGGGGAGAGCAAACCTAAAGAGTAAGATAAGCCGTGCTGATCGGTGTCCTTGAGCGATGGAAGGTGGCTTTTACAAGAGCAAAAGAGCTCAGGCACTAAAAAAAGGGAAAACGAAGGAGGGTGAGTTGGAACGGCTATTTTCCATTTCAGTGCTAAAGTATTTATTATTTATCACCCTGCCTTGTAAACTCGGCTTGCATTCTGCAGAAAATAGATACAGGGTGAAGATGGACGTAATGGTCTTCCCAGCTGTCACGGCGGATTCTTCAGCTTTGACCCGAATGTTGCCCTGCCAGGTGTTCTGATGTGTGTGGATCCGTATGTGAAGGCTGAACTCTAGATCACATCCCGGCCCTGCCATTTTCCATGCTGTCCCCTCCCCGTGCCGTTGTCTATAGTGTAAGCGGTAAAGTTCTGCTTAGGACAGTGCTTGTGATAGTACTAGCCCATCCTCACAATCTGTTGTTGTTGTTACGTGCAGTCAAGTCGCTTCCGAGTTATAGCGACCCCATGAATGAGTGAGTCAGTCCATCTCTTATTTGGTCTTCCTCTTCTCCTGCTGCCTTCCAGTATAATTGTCTTCTCCAGAGAATCCTGCCTTCTCATGATGTACCCAAAGTAGAGCAGGCTCAGCTTCAACCTTTTTGCCTCCAGAGATAGTTTAGGCTTGGTTTGCTCTATGATCCACTTGTTTCTCCCTCCCTCTCCCTCTCCCTCTCTCTCTCTGTACCAAAGTTATGAATACACAACTGACATACAAAAATATTTCTGCTAGTCCCTGGGACTGTCTAGAAAGGGGTGGAGGAAGATGGGTGTCCAGTGTTTCACATAGCATTTATATAATCACTGTTGTTGGCTTTAATAGAGCTCTAATATTGTCTTTTAACTATGTAGGTCACCTTGAGTCCTTCTTAATGTGGAAGGCAGGGTAAAAATACTTTAAGCAAATAAACCCCAAATAAGGGCTTCTCAAGCAGACCGTTGTGGCTCTCCAAGGGCACGTGATGGGCGCAGGGGTCACTCGAGATATCTGAAGATCACCCATCCCTGCGTTAGTGGCACCACACCCACAAACGTTTAATTGTTTCCTACTCCAGGCTTGCTAAAATTCATTTCCCCACTTTGGAACCCTGAAGCATGACATCCTTAAAGAGGATCTGGGGAGGATCTGGGAAATCAGTTGTCCCGTGCCCCATGGAACTCAATCAATAGATTGCAGGGAAAGAGATACACAGCAAAATGGAGGCATCCTTCAAGGCAGTGTCTCGAAATGCTCGCAGCCAACTTGCTCCATAAAAGGCACTTCCCAGTGAATTACAGGGAAATCAAACCAGGCTGCTTTCCATGGTGTGGCTCTCTAGAGAAAAATCCCGTTGAATTCTGGGCTCTCCTGCATGCTAGTAATAAAGACAATGGCCCAAAAAAAGAGAAAAGATATATATAATTTTTTTTTTGGCAAAAGGATGATGCTTGGTGAGAAAGAAGCCTTTAAATGCAGATGTTTAATAATATGGCAATAAATGAAGGAATAAAGCGAGATGTGGAATAATGGGTTATCTGTAAATCTCGCTTTGGATTCCCTTCAGACCCAGCTTTCTCACTTTGCTGCAAAAGCTCTCCCAGGATGCGTTTCAGGGTCTGTTGAGGCTCAAACCAGGAACCCATGTCATGCACTAATTTTGTAGCCGTAGATTTTGAAACACAGATGTTCACTGTGACGCTCCCCAAAGCCATGCACCTAAGGAGAATCCAAAAAGATGTAGTTAGTTGCATTGATCCACATCAACACACCAGTTCTGGTGCTTTTCCCCTTTCCCCAGAATCAGGTCTTTTGTACAGGTAACAGGTCTTAACTAGCCCTTCAAGAGCCAACCACCATAAATAGGATTGTTGGGTTGATAGCATTTCCTTCCCTAGGATGACAGAGCCAAAAACCAGCACCAGAGGACAGTTTTTATGATGCCACAGTTGCAGGGCAAACAATGAAAGTAGAGTACCCCCCCACACACACTCTTTGTCAGGCTTTGCTCTACCACTGCCAATGTTTGTGAGACAAGAAGCGTCATGAGTTGCGATGCTGATGTTCCACTCCTCGTCTTCCTCCAACTGGCATGAGGGATTCAAATTTTGGCGTGCCAGGAAAAGCTCAGTGCGAGGGGAGAAGGCACGGAAGAGAGCTGGCAAGGACATGAGCTTGGACTCTTTTGGAATAATGAACATTCAAAAGGATCCTGATGGATCCATATTCCTCCTGTCCTGCAAGAGATGAAAGGATGTTATATTTATTTGGCGTTATATTTATTTGAATATATTGATTTGTCTGGGTGTTTTATTTACATGCCTCCTTTCTCCCAATGAGGAGATCCAAGGTGGTTCGCAATGTTAAGAAGAACAGAATTAAAAACACCAGTTAAACATTATAACATTTTCCAAATGGGATTGTCTTCTCTGACCTATAGGGTTGCCGCATCACTGAAGACCAAGAGAATCTGGTTGAACATAAAGGAAGTGAAGCCCAGACTTTGTAAAATAAAGGATTCAGGCGCATGGATCTGGACCACTGAATCTGTGATGGTTAGTATCTCCAACATCTTGGGGGGGGGGGAAATCCTTGCAAGCGAAACATGAAGAAATTTTAACTTTGGCCAAAATCTGATCAAAAAATGAATTGAAAGGAAACACTTGTCCATCCCTATTGCAAATGATGTTTAACTCCTGAGCCCATCACCCTGGTCATTGGACCTGCTGGTGGTGACTGATGGACTTTGGAGTCCAGTGGCTCCTTCTCTAGATCATTGGTCCCCAACATTGAGTCTCCAGATGTTCTTGGATTTCAACTCCCAGAAATCCTGGCCAGCAGAGGTGGTGGTGAAGGCTTCTGGGAGTTGTAGTCCAAGAACATCTGGAGGCCCAGCATTGGGGACCATTGCTCTAGATGGCAGTCAAAGCCCACCAGGGATCTTCTGTGTCAAATGTAACCCATAAGCTCCAGGTCTTTTGTACAGGTAACAGGTCTTAACGGGCCCTTCAAGAGCCAACCACTATAAATAGGATTGTTGGCCTTCTCTCTTGTTTGGCGAAGAAACAGCTTATCAAGGAGGAGGCGTAGGTTTTCCCTCTGAAATGCCAGCACATTCACAAACACTTCCTTTCGATACATGAGCGAGGTAGATAACAGATGAGGAAATCATTGCAATCCGCTCTCCCAAGCTGAACTGGCTTGGCAACTCTGATTTTATCTCAAAGAAACTCATTGGCCTTCCAGGTCATTTCTTTCACCCTTGTGAAAAGTGTCGTTAAGTTTACACACGCCGCAAGCAGAGAGAGACCACCGATCCGGTCGTCCTACCACGCCATTCTGTTTTTCTGTTGTGGTGGTGGCTGTTGTTTTTGCGAGGCGTCGCTGCGTTTTGACACTCTTCGGCGCGGCGACACTTCCAGGGGAGAGCAATCTTGGCGTGTCAAATCATTTTCATGTTAGAGAAGACAGTGTGTTCCTCGGAGAAGACCAGCAAATTGGAGACGTGTCCAAAACAAGCACAGCGTTGCTTCAAAGTGACACCTGAACGCTCCGGCTGTCTTGGAGCCACACAAACCCTTGTTAGTTTGAAGGGTCTTTTCAGCTTTCTGTTTTCTTTTTTGACAACAAGATGGGCCCTTGCAGAAGGACCGACTTTGTATTTATTGTGGACCGCTCTTCCATCAAAGGAGACCGTCAGAGTTAGTTGAGCCAGCAAAGCAGAGAGTTATAAACAATTATATAGCCTGGTTGTTTCCTTCTTCTAATACCACACCATTATGGTTGCCAAGTCAACATCATCTCCTTCCTTGAGATCCCAAGGCCGAAACCTCAGTCCAGAGGGAGGAACGCTTATATTGAACTATATTTTTTTGTCCCGGTCCAAAGCCTAATTTGCATGTAGGAAGATGTCCACCTCTCCTGAGACAAATATTTAAATGAATAAGTATATTTTACCCTGTATTTTGCTTACTGTCATCCCTTTTCTGAATTTTTGTCCGTGTTGCCTGTATTGTTATTATGTTATTTCGACATTGCTCCGTTAGCCGCCTGCATTCATGGATTCCCCCAGAGAGGACATCAACAAGAGAAATATAAAGAAATGATCAGTTTGTGTTTTTTTTTTAAAATCATCAAACCTACGAACTGTTAAAATAGGAACTCAGCAGAGAAAGCCGTAGCTTTAATTACAGCGTGTTAAAAGGAGGCAAAATGCAAATTGGGGTGGAGGAAGTGGGAGGAGTCACAGGCAGGACATCCCAAGGACATAAAGACCCAACCCAAGAAAAGACTTCGCCTGGAGGCTTGCCAAATCCACAGCTCTTACCAGGTTGCCAGACATGAGAGTACCAGAAAATGGTTAGGGTCTGAGCCAGATTGACCCTTCTCGAGCTGGTTTCAGTACTGAACCAGGAAGCCCTTGAAAACTGTGGAGCCGGTATTTCAGAGTTCTCAGGCCTTTAAAAGAAAAAAAAAGGGGGGGCGGAAGCTAGACATGTCTGCTCTTCTTGGCATAATTATAGTTTTGCTGGTGCATTTGCTGTGAACTCTCCATTCTCCAGGAAAGTTGTGAGCAGTCTGTGATTAGATCGGAGCATGACACTGATTACCGCGTAATAAGCTAGGCTAATAAATGTCGTTTAGAAGGTGAAGGGGTTGGGTATACAGTTTCTTCGAAAATAGACATACATATAATCTGTAGTTGTAAATAGATAGATAGATAGATAGATAGATAGATAGATAGATAGATAGATAGATAGATAGATAGATAGATAGATAGATAGATAGATAGATAGATAGATAGATAGATAGATAGATAGATGAACCCCTCTGGTAATGGTGGGCTTGTAAAATGTGATGGAGAACCACTCACCCCCAAATTGGGGGTCACTCCACCACCCTTGCTCTTGAACCATCCGTGCTACAATGTAGCTGGGCTGTATTCCCATCAGCCAGAGCACACCTTGCAATTGGTAAAAAGGATGAGAGCCTCGTCAAACCAGTCAGGGCTCTATGTTCAAGTGGCCTTCTCTACACATCATATCCGGTCCCGTCATGCTTATGTTTCACCAGTCATGTTTGAGAGCGACCGGAAGGTGCTTCAGAGATGTGAGCGTGTTTCAAGAGAAGCACCCAAATTTGTCTTTATGGAGGTGCATGGAGCTGGTGAAACTATGGGGTCACATGCTGAGATGGGAAGGAACCGAACTACGAACAGGTGAAAACCACGAACCAGGTTGATTTGTGGTTCAGTTCATAGTTCAGTTCATGCAACCTGTTTTGCCAAAATGAAGTTTTTTAAAAAAAAAAACTTTCAATGCTTCAGTTTGCTTTGCCAAAATGGAGGAGCAGGTAGACTTCCCCACTGGGCATGAACCAAAAACCAAACCTCAAACTGGTTGGGTTTTCTGGTTGGTTCATGCTGGTCCACGGTTCATGGGTTGTGTTTTGTGGTGAACTGCGAACCATCACAAACGGCCGTTCCTCAGGTTCATGCCCATTTCTAGTCACGTGTCCTTTCCACCCTGCTATTTTTGATACACACTACTCCACTGTTCTGTAGTCTTCAGAGAGATATTGTTTACTTTCATATCAGGGTGGAGAAACAAAATCAACCAGGCCCAATTCGATCTTGCTTTGTAGACTAACAGAAGAGTAGAACAATGGGTACATTCAGCCGTTAGCAATCTTATTGTGGGGATGTCAAACAAAGCCTGTTTTTCCTTCTTGAATCCCTTGACATGGGTCGAGCTAACGCGTGAGGCTTTAGTACAAAAATAAACCCAGCCTTTCAATCACGCTTCTGCCTTCTATCTTAATGATGACACTTAATGCATAGACTTTCTCCTCACCTAATGGCATATTTATATCTATGGAAATCTGAAGCTGGCTGAACACCAGACAATTTTTTTCCCCTCAGAAATACAGTCTGCCTGTATGTTAACGAGTTCCACAAACAATGAGGGGTGGAAGAGGCTAACCAAAGCCAACATTGTAGAATTAAAAATGACATGACGAACCAAAGGCAGAGATGCACATCCTTAGCAACACGGTGTGTGTGTGTGTGTGTGTGTGTGTTCACATTAAATGGAAGCAGTCCAAATAAAGAAGACGTGGGGGGGGGAGAGAGAGAGAGAGAGATGGACTGGTGTGCAGGATAATGAAAACCTCTCTCTGGACATCCCCGTTCAGAAGCGACACTGAGACATTGCCACTTGTGAAACAGACACATCAACATGCTCTCCAGATGGATCATTATCCAGAATTGACAAGGGAGTATTCTTTTTACGGTTCATATCTCATTAATATATTGTTGTAGGGCAGTGATTCCCAGCCTTGGGTCCCTGGATGTTCTTGAACTAAAACTCCCAAAAGCCTTCACCAACTAACTGTGCTGGCCAGGATTTCTTGGAATTGCAATCCAAGAAGCACTCAAGGCTGAGAGCCACTGTCATAGGAGAAACAACTACTGTAATTCTTGGCAGTGTTGGGAGATGCCAGCTGTCCAGGTAAAAGGAACAACTACCATACAATTGCACTCATTTCACACGCTAGCAAGGTTATGCTCAAAATCCTTTAAGGTGGGCTCCAGCAGTATGTGGACCAAGAACTCCCAGAAGTACAAGCTGGATTTTGAAGGGGCAAAGGAACTAGAGACCAAATTGCTAACATGCGCTGGATTATGGAGAAAGCCAGAGAGTTCCAGAAAAACATCTACTTCTGCTTCATTGATTATGCAAAAGCCTTTGACTGTGTTGACCACAGCAAACTATGGCAAGTTCTTAAAGAAATGGGAGTGCCTTGATCACCTTATCTATCTCGTGAGAAATCTGTATGTGAGACAGGAAGCAACAGTAAGAACAGGATATGGAACAACTGATTGGTTCAAAATTGGGAAAGGAGTCCGACAAGGCTGTATATTGTCTCCCTGCTTATTTAACTTATATGCAGAATACATCATGCAACAGACTGGACTGGATGAATCCCAACCGGAATTAAGATTGCCAGAAGAAATATCAACAACCTCAGACATACAGATGATACCATTCTGATGGCAGAAAGTGAGGAGGAATTAAAGAACCTCTTAATGAGGGTGAAAGAAGAGAGTGCAAAAAATGATCTGAAGCTCAACATCAAAAAAAACTAAGATCATGGCCACTGGTCCCATCACCTCCTGGCAAATAGAAGGGGAAGATATGGAGGCAGTGACA